GATAAAAAGAAGTCTTCTCTGAGGCAAGTAAAGCATTAAAAGGTTAAAAAAGTCTGACCAAAGGCTCAAGCTTAGTGCTACAGTTAGAAGGACCAGGCTTTGTTAGTGAACAAATGAATACCAGAAACAATGAAGCTAAGGCATGTTGGCCACAGAGTGTAAATCAGCCAACTCTGACAATCTTTATTCTCTCTGCTCTAGTCTTTATGCTCTGAGTTAAATGAAACATGATCATGCATATAAAAAAAAAAAAAACCTGGCACTCAGCCTTGCACATGGTAAACACTTCACAAATGTTTATGAGTGTGTTCATGCAGTCTTAAAGCTGGGATGTGAGCGCAAACCTATCTATTCAGGGTGGTATTGTGAAATAGTTAAGGTCACCCTGGGACCAGTTTAAGCTCAAATCCTCGTTTCCTATGTAGGGCCTTAGACAAGGTACTTAACTCTCCTATGCCTCAGTTCCCTCATCTGAAAAAGACAATAACAGTCCCTATTTCACAGAATTGTTAAAAGATTAAGTGAGTTGTATGTTAAGAGCTTAGAAGGTGCCTGCACATAGCAAGGACTACATAATTTGTGTGTGTTGGATGAAATTGTGTGTTGGATCTTCTTGTCTCAGGCACCTACACAGCTGGGTCCACAGGCACCTGCCACCACACCTGGCTCTTTAGGGTGGCCAAGAAGCAAACTTGGGCCTCCTGTGCAGCTTCAGCCTCCTAAGAAACAGCATCCAGCACTTTCTACATGGCTGGGCCTGTCCTGGTTCACTGTTAACATTTTCTTGGGTTCTTTTTTTTTTTTTTTGGAGAGGTTTTTGCTATAGGGCATGTGCGCTCGCCAGACAGACAGAGAGACAGAAAGTGAGAAATCACCCCCCAGGGGGGATGGCCACGCCACAATCCCTTCTCCTCCATTCTCCTCTCGGGATCCTGGGCACGCACGCACACGCGCCTGGTGTGAGTTTAAGCCACCAGGTCCAGGACGCAAACCGCGGTCGACTACATGGGAGTCCAGCGACATAGCCATTATGCTAACTGCTGGTTCCAACATTTTCTTTATTTGCCTCTGTGTTCTACATCTCGGACTCAGTCAATGACACTAGCTCTATGCTCCAATACCTACAGTATGTCCCTTTAATTTCAAAATTGAGAAATTAAGATAATTAAATGTCATTTTTGATCTCTTCTCCATTTGTCTGGGTTTCTCCCCAAATACAATCGGATCCTGGACAAGTTAGCAAATCATTGTAAAAATGAGCTGAAGAAAAGTAACGAGTGAGGTGTGGAAAAGGAATTACCAACCACCCCTGCAGGGGCAGAGTACAGCAGGCAGGGGGCATGATGCACTGGCTCCTCGTGACCTTGGGCAGGCCTTCATCCTATGGCTCAGGGACCTCAGCTATGCCCCACCCTGGACATGGCAGCAAGGAGGATTCAGCAAGACCAGACACAGAAGTCCTCTGTGACTGCCCCCGCAGTGAGCAAAGGTTAGGAAGAATCTCAGTCTATTTATGGCACCTCATTTTCTACCAATAAATAACCTTTTAACGTTTCTGAAAGTTTCCAAATAAGCCCCAAACTCCATTCC